CAGTGCGACACAACGTCGCTGCCTTCCTTGCCGCCGCACAACCCATTGCTCACACACACGCACGAGGATCTGGCACGTTTGAGTGAGACGCACACCGATCTGGAGCACGACCAGGATGACATTAGCGATAATGGTAACTAAGCATTGGCTCTATACTAGACTCTGTATTTTTTGTAATCTTTTTGTGGCCATTCGAATGCGTCGCCTGCCATGGCACATGTGAGCATACAAATTTTTGAATACCCCTAATGTAGAGACGCACTGGATTAGGCTAGCAACAATCGAAGAACTAATACTTGAAAACTAATACATACATTTCTCTTCTTCTTTTGCTTTGCTCCCATCAGTTCCAGCTCCGAAACACTTGACCCTGGAACGGCAGCTGAACAAGAGCGTGCTCATTGGCTGGTCACCACCAGAGCCGGTGGGCTACAATCTGATCGATAGCTACCACGTCTATGTAGATGGTGTGCTCAAGGTCACGGTGAAGGCCAACGAACGCACACGCGCTCTAATCGAGGGCGTCGACTCCACGCGGGTAAGCACACAGTCAATTATAGGTATATGGTAAGGACTGCATATATTTATGGACTCATTTGACTCTTTTAGCCGCATCGCATTAGCGTGCGGAGCGTTACACAAAACCGTCAGACGTCCAGGGACGCCGCCTGCACAATGATTATTGGGCGAGATACTTCGCACTTGGGCCCCTCGGCGGTGCGCGCCTCGCACATAACGTGTTCCTCGGCGGTTATCTCGTGGCTGCCGGCCAACTCCAACCACCAGCACGTGGTGTGTGTGAACAATGTGGAGGTGCGCACCGTCAAGCCGGGCATGTATAGGCACACAATAACCGGGCTAGCGCCGAGCACCCAATATCGGGTGACTGTGCGTGCCAAACATTTGCGTGCCGTTGGCCAGCACACGCCACAAGCACCGGGCAGACCCGGGCAGGAGGAGGCACCTGGCGCCTATGCCGATTTTCGCACACTGACCAAAGGTCTGCCCGATCCGCCGCAAGACATCCAACTGGAGGCTGGTCCTCAGGATGGCACCATTCTGGTGACATGGCAGCCGGTTAACAGACCTACGTCCACGGGGCCTGTAACCGGCTATGCTGTGTATGCCGATGGTAAAAAGGTGACGGACATTAATTCCCCGACGGGCGATCATGCACTCATCGACATCGGCAAGCTGGGCGTCTTCAATCCCCGAGCCGTCACCATACGCACCAAATCACGCGATTCACAGTCGGCGGACAGTGCGCCCATACTGATACCAAGTGGGTGCAACTAAATTGAAATCGAACCGTGAATCCATTAAATCGCTTTCAACCAAACGCTTTTGTAGATAACGTGCGCAATGCTGTCGCTCGCCGGGGACCAAATCAAATGGGCATGGGTCCGCAGTTGCCGCAGCAGGGTGTCCATGGCATGCCCGGGCAGCAACAGCAAATGGGCATGCCTGGGCAGCAGGGGCAGATGCAGTCGCATATGATGGGCGGCCAGCAGGATCATACGCAATACGATCCCAACCAAATGCAGCAGCAGGGAATGCAGCCGGGCCAGCAGCCGGGCCAGGCCCAGCCGGGTCATCAGGTTAGTGAGTGCGCCCCACACCCAAATGTCAGCTGCCGCTCCAGATCTACACACATATGCGGATCAATTGGCACTGGCATTCACTGTATATAATTATATAATGTTCTGTGAACTCGTTTTCTTTATTATTTCGAAATGCAATTGGTTACAAGTTTTCCAAATTTCTCTTTAAACAAACACCCATCCACCACCAGAATGTACATAATGTTCTACAAGTGTAGATACTCTACGTACTCTATCCATCAACTATCCGATTCTGAATGCTTTTCCCAATGCCCTAAAAAGAAAATTCTTTTGATTTGTATATATACATACCACTGCTCTATCGGAGCAGCAACTGGTATGGGATATTCCAAAATACATACATATACATTATATACTTAACCTACTTATGTTCAGATTTTGTTTTTTTTTGGTTGAAACGTACATAAACTTTCGAGTTCATAATGGAGAATATTTTAAAAAGGAAAAGTATTCTATTTATCTATCAGCTACGTACTTTCTATATCTTTGGTACTCTATTCGAGATCTATTATGAATTGCCTTTTTCTACTTGCTACTTTTCTACCTCTCCTCAAAAGACTGAACTAAAATCCTATTTTCTATGAATTGTTTTGCAATATAACCACATTATATACATACACTATATGATATATTAGACAATCGCACAAAATTCACACACAAAATTTGTACAAATTATATATATATATATATATATGAAATGAACTGTTGCAGAGAACTGTGAGAAAGTAATGCCAACGATTATAACTATAAGAAACCAAAGCAATTTGAGACCTACAACTAAATCCCCCCATCCAAAAAAAAAAAAAAAAAACAAATACAAAAAGAATTTGTATGTATGTAAAGTTATTATTTATTTAGTTGATATTTAGGTTATGTGGACAGCGTATGCAGTTTTATTTTGCTAGTGTTTGTTCGAATTTTTGATTTGGGTTCATGATCTTTTTGAGTACAGTTCACAATAGCATGTTCCAAAATTGCTGCCAAATGCAATAATATATTATCAAGTTAATTGAGTTACTCAGTTTAAACAATAGAATTTTACATACTTATATAAGTATCTGAGCGGATTGATTAAGGAGAACGCAATGCAACGAACAATTTTAAACAAAACAAGTTATACATATTCATTTTCATTATATGAAACCAATACTGAAACGATACCGTTAACCCGTTACCATACCGAATCGAATCGAATCGAATACAGCCCGACGGAAGCTCCGGCTTGTTAGGTGGCCTGCTCGGTGGCCTCTTCTCGAAACCCACACAGAGTCAAGTGAACCAGAATGTAAGTTATACTGACAACATCTCTCACCTACCCCCATTTGTATTAATCACACACCAACACACACACTCTCTCACACACACAACACACACACACATAGACATAAGTTCAACTGTAATACCTTTGCCTAGAGTAATACTCTTTTCATAAGAGTTCGCTGCATTTTAGTCATACTTATGCCGATTTCTAATAACTTATATACTAGTATATACGAAGTAGAATATGCTTTTTCTTAAGCTTAAAAAAAAAACAATGAAATGCTAAGTGCAATTTTTTAACAATTTTTAATTCATAAGTTGGTTTCTTTTAGAAAAATATGGTGTTTACAAGAATTGTTTTTGGTTTTTTTAATTTTATGAGGCAACTTTCGAATGTGGGAAATTACAAAAAGTCGTGAATGAAATTGTTAAGATACTGCATGGTTAGCCAGGGGATTTGAAACGTGTTTAAATAGCTTAACAAAAGTATCTGAATGGTATAATTAATGCTCTGAAAATAAGCTTACCTCAAGCGAAGTTCAATTATGTATATTATTTAAATGAAACTTGCTGCCGTATAGTAAATAATCGACTGCCTGCTCTGACTGTGTTAGTCTCAGCGCCTACTATATATGCAATAATAATAATAAATTTGTAATATACAATTTAAGTACATGTATGTAAGTATTGTGATAGACTAGTATGCTCCAGTAGGTTTTCATAATCGCAGTTCATATTAGAGACATGTGTATACAATCAAACATACTTATACAACAGTTACAGGAACCAACCAAACATCTACATAGTTATTTCGACTCAAATTCGTGCTTTCTTTTTTTCTGAAAACATTTAACAACTAGCTTCGTATTTGCCTTCGACCTATCAGCCATAGTCTTTTAATTTTTCAGCTGCTTGTATTTAGCTCCTGCTTATTCTAAATACACGCCTTCCTCTACACACACACACATACACATATACGAGTACTGTTTACCTAGTATATACCATATATATTCATATAACCTCTTTAGTTGTGTCGAGCCTTAAAGCCATACGCAGACGCCCGCACATTGCTAAAGAAATTACCTCTCTATAGACAATGTGAATGAAAAACAGAGTACAAATTAAGAACAATTTTTGCGACAATCTAAAAAGAAGAAAAGCTAACAAAATTTCAAATTCATTTAAATTAATTCAAATTCATGCGCGTGCTATCGTCGGTCGATAATTTATCGATAATCAGGGCTATCAGCCGGGCGCACCGCAGCGCGGCATGGTGCCAGGACGACCCCAGGGACCACAGCAACAACAACAGCCGTACGGGGCGCAGGGCCCCATGGGAGGGCCCCGATTTCGTGGACCCGTGCCGGGACAAATGGCAATGCAGGGTCAGATGCAGGGCCAGATGCCAGGACAAATGCCTGGTCAAATGCAAGGTCAAATGATGGGTCAGCAAGGGCCGGGTCCACGCGGCCCACTCAACCAACAGCAGCAGCAGCAGCAACAACAACAACAGCAGCAGCAACAGCAGCAGCAACAACAGCAGCAACAGCAGCAGCAACAGCAACAAGGTCAAATGATGCCCGGCCAGCAACCGGGCCAACAGCAGCAACAGCAAATGCCCGGCGCACAGAAGAAGCCGCGCTATTTTGTGGCAATGTTTGACTACGATCCATCCACAATGAGTCCCAATCCAGATGGTTGCGACGAAGAGCTGCCCTTCCAAGAGGGAGATACTATCAAGGTAAGCTCTTTGCAATTTTGCTGATACACAGAACCACCAAAACACTTTGCAGCCGCAGAGCAAATGCTACCCACTTAGGCACCGGAGCTTGCAGTAACCGTCCACGGTAATAATGGTAAATCAGTAATCAGCAATCAGCAATCAGCAATCAGCAATCAGAATCAGATAATCTGGATATCAGCTAATCAGCTAATCAGCGCTTGCTCTGAATTGGATGTCGAATTGGAACGATGCCGAGAATTGGCTGCGCTTGCCGCTAATTGAATGAATGAAACTTGTGCATGTTTTTCCTTCGCCAATCCTAAGTCTGCCCCACCATACAGTTAAGATCGTTATAAATACGTTTAAATACCCATATCAATAATTACAAATACAACTACTCTTACTTAACTAAATGTAATTACGAATATACCATACAATACTATATACCCAACAACCCGACCACACACACTAAGTAGAAGTTGTTCTCTTCTCTCTAATAGTTCCATAAATAACCGTTAAGTTAGCAATATGCACTCTACATATACACTACCAACTAGCCATTATGAGTATACCATATATGCCCAGCTCCTTGGTTGAAGTCGGCCCTGCTAACACTACTCTCTTTCACGCTCTGTGGCACAGGTCTTTGGTGATAAGGATGCGGATGGCTTCTATTGGGGCGAGCTGCGGGGTCGTCGAGGCTATGTGCCGCACAACATGGTTAGCGAGGTGGAGGACACCACCACCCAAATAACCGGCGGGCAAATGCCCGGCGGCATGCAGTCGACAACAACTGGCGCCGGCACCGCACAAGTTATGCCCGGCCAGAGTGCTCCGCAGCAGAGCATGCGGAATGTGAGCCGCGATCGCTGGGGTGACATCTATGCGAATATGCCAGTGAAACGGATGATCGCCCTCTATGACTATGATCCCCAGGAGTTAAGTCCAAATGTGGATGCCGAGGTGAGTAGAACAATTAGTAGAGTTTTTCGCAACATTCACCTGACTCACCTCACTATAAATACCCTGCTTTCTAGCAAGTGGAATTGTGTTTTAAGACGGGTGAAATTATCCTCGTTTATGGTGATATGGATGAAGATGGCTTCTTCATGGGTGAACTGGATGGGGTACGGGGCTTGGTGCCCTCAAATTTCCTGGCCGATGCGCCCGACCAGTACAACAATCAAATGGGACCGGGCGGCGCCGCTGGGCGTGGCAGCCTCAGTCAGCGGGGTCGGGGCCAGGGACCCGGCGCTAGGGGACCACCGCCGCCGCCACGGGATAACATGATGCCCGGCGTTGCTGGACAACGTGGTCCACAAGGCAAAAGTAAGTAGGCTTTGTGCAGATTAATTTGATCAACGGACTTTTTTGCATTTCTTTTTAATTTTGATATATTTGTTTTTTTCTGATTTTTTAATTATTTTCCTTTGATTTAATACAATTTTTACTAAATATGATACTAAAACTTATTCGAAAAGCAATTACAGGCTTACTATTTTTAATTTTCTCTTCTGATTTGAGTTTTTTTTATTTTATTTTATTTTTTTTTTTACAAAAAAAGAAGGAAAATCTCAAAGCAATTCTCTTAAAATAAAACACATACACTCTATAAGATAATTAAATATGCAGGTTTTTCAGACTAACTACACAAACAAGCAGGATGATATTATATATATAGCGACTAATCTTATGAACTATATGTACTCAACTACAAGATTCCGTTGGTTTTATTTTGTTCGTAACACCAATAGCATATATATATCTACACATATATACATACATATATGTGTATCAATATTAAATCAGCGAAAAACAAAAATAAACACTTATGAACAATACGATCATGCTCCAAAAAGAAACAAACAAATTTCGTGACGACACAAAAGAATCTTTCACTCTTCTTTCTGTCTCTCTACAACTCTTTCGCAAAATTAAAAAACAAAAAAACAATATATATATATATATATATATATAAACCAAACAGTTACAGATGAATATATACAATTTCTGTTTTGAACGCCGCTAATTTAAAATATATATATTTATTTAATTTCTGTTATGATTCCGCAGAACTTGTTTATAATGTTACACTACTTCTTTATACACATATATATATATATATATATATATATATGTATTTATATATATATATGCATATATAATTAAATTTTTTTACTTTGTGAAATAATTCATAATTTCAGCACCTGTCAATTCAATATTTCAAGAATCCTTTTATATTACATGTTCTTGTTTTTTGGTTGGAATCGATTTATATAAACCTTATCAAATACAATATATAGATACATAGTTGTTGTTCTTGTTGTTGTATACACAGTCTTTTAATTACCTCTCGCTTTCTCTTTGTTTATACTTTTTTTCAATCGATCCATTCGTCATATACAATTATATATACAAATAATGTTTATATACAATCGAAGGATTATTGAGAAGCAGCTTTAAGAATCCTTCCAAATCATTCAAAAAAAAAAAAAACATAACACTTTTGTTGATATTTTTCCAAGTACTTTCTTTACTGTCAACACACTTTTTGAAAATTACAAAATTGTTTCTACTTTTGTCTCTTGTCTTGCGTGACTTTCTCTATAGCCTTGCAAAATTTCTAGATGGTCTCTTGCATGTAATTGAAACCAATTTAACTTAAGTGTATTTATCATTTCCATTTGACTTTAAATCGGTTTGTCTTTATGTTTTTGGTTATCCTAACAATTTAATTTGCATAAAATAAGAGACTAGTTTCTTGCACCTGATTGTCGAATGAAATGTAATTCCTTAGTTGCTCACCGATCGATTATAGAGTCTGTAAAAACCATCTAGTTTTACGTGACAACGACTGATTAAATATATGTGAATATATAATATATATCTCCGAGAGCCTGTAAATATTGAACGGAATTCAACGATCTAGTTCTTAGGATGGAATTCTCATATACCCGAGCACATTGCATACGAGTATATATGTTGACAACTGTTCGTATAAACCATGCTGTCGTGTGTGTGTTTTTTTCCGCAGTCAAGCGTGTGTATCCTGCAGATAAAACTCTTGAAATCGAGTATATATACAGATATATATATCTCTACCCTATTCCTGGTTTCTGTTACTGTTTCTGTTTCCCATGTGTACGATCTATTGCGTTGCTTTTTGGATTCCTTTTTCTTTTTAAATAAATAACATTTGATCTATTTTCTCGTTGGTTTTGAATGTTGCCCCTGTTTGTTTTGCTATTTAGCCAATTTAGCCAATTTGGACATTTTTGATTAAGATTTTTAGTTTCCTAGAGATATAACAACAAAAACAACAACACTGCAGGGGCTTAAAGCACATATGAAAATGATTTTCAAATGAATCTCTTTGTAAACTATGTACATTTCTAATGTAATATAATAACGTTTAAAGTCCTAACCTAATTATTACCATATAGTATGCATATGTTTTTTACAATATCATAAGCGCCATATATGTGGCCAGCCAAGATATCGTTTTGCGATATTGTCCTATCCTATGTACAATTGTTTTGTTTGACAAACCTGAGATGCTGCTCTGTGCAGATTTCTTTAGGGATTTATGTTTTGTCAGACCAGACGCCATGCGCAAAAGGTAATATTTATGCTACTTACATACATACATGATATTCATTAATTTTTTTTTAACAAATATAATAATATGTACAATACTTTTGTCTCTTGCCAATGTTCCTAGCGATCCATTACTTTTGGCGCCTTTTTCTCCGTTTTGTATTGTGTTTTCGAGAAATCGTTTTGCAAGCAGCCCAAAATTTCAAATTTTAATGTCCCATAATAATAATTTGTATTGTGCTATTATTTCAATTGCATTTAGTTTATGTTTGATTTGAACTATATTTTCAATTTTACTTTCAACTGCGGTGAATTATGTAAAACAAACATCACGAAACTCGTTCTCGGAACTACGCGAATACGTTTCCGGTTCAGTATTCTATACGTAAGACAAAATCCTTACCAGGCAGCAGCTGTAACTGAAACTTTCTTTCAAATCTTTGAGACAAGATCTAGTTAACTTCTCTTGTGTTGAATTCATTTATTTGACTTATGTTCTTTTTTTTTTTTTAATTTGTTTTTCAATTGTTTTTCTTTTTTTTTTAAACTACTACAACTTCTTTCAAATAATTTTTTGTAATGGTCTGCTGTGGTAAATGTGAAGTCTTTATGTTATATTCGTTGCTATAGATGCTCGCCCTGCTTCCCCTACACTGTTAGACAACACGGGCCACCCTGCCCCCGATCACCAAACGCAGGTAAATACTCTTTCTCTTTTGTTTTCTTTTGTTTTGATATAAATACTTGAAGAAAAAATTAAAAAAAAAATGAACAAAATGCTAAAAGAAAAAAAAAACCAATACTCAAAAGAAAAAGTTAAGAAAGCGCAAAAATATATATATAGCCACACCTCATACGCTACAAAAGCTACAGATACTATTATTATTAATACTACTACTACTACTACTACTACTACTACTACTACTACTATTACTACAACTACAGCTGCTACAGCTAAAACTAACTTGCTATCTCTGTCGCTCATTTGGTTTTGGTTCTCTTCCCGAAAACAATCAAGTGTTATATACAAACTCAATCATCCAATAACAGATGCATTATGTTCACACTGGCATTGCCCCACTCATATATACGATCTGGAGACTCATTCTGAACAACATCAATAATCGCTCTCATACTAACATCCGATACCTAATACAATCCAATGTATTTGTATATTATGTTATCATGAATTGATCTTCCATTGTTTTCGTCTCGCTCACTCTTTCTTATTGCTAACGCATACGTTTCATACTCAATTACTCTGTCTATATATCTAAATAACTCATTCACTCTCTATAAATACTGATCTATGTTTGTGCGTATATCCAATGCTCTGGTAATCCATCCAAAACGCTTACAGTACAGTACATGAACAAAATTATGCTTATCCCATATAGAAGCAATATACATGTTTTCAACTATGTATGTATAGCTAGCAACATGTTTTATAGAACCTCGCCTAGTACAACGAATAAGCCAACAGACAAACAGACAAACAGAACCAACAGAACCAACAACAGCAACAACAATTTAAATATAAATAAATGTAAATTATTGTAAACTAATCAAGCATCAATGAAGCAATCAATCAATCAATTAATCAAACTACTCGTCCGTGTACATTTACCTACATACATACGTATGATTGTTCAGAAAATACTTTTACTTAGCATATAGCGCACATATTATTAGTGTGATATGTAATTATAAAAAATATATATGTGTGTATAGTCTGTAAATTGCATTTGCATTGCGGCAACGGCAAATACTTAGCTTCAGCTAGTCTTGAAAGAGGCATCATAGACAGTACCTATAGCACCCAATCATTCACATTTACTTAACTGATTTACTTAGTTAATGTTATTCAATTTATACCTTAATCGCAACATTTTTGCCATATTATTTTGTTGTGACATTGTTTTGCATATATTGTGTTTTATTTTTTTTTTGGTAAACTTAATTTAATTGGTTAACTTAATTTAATTGCTAAATACATACTTTTATACATTTAATTGCTAAAGCTTTCTGATATAAAATACAGTTTTCACAGAACTTTCAAAACTGGCGCTAATATCGATGCAAACATTTTTATTGAACATAAACAAATATCAGTTCTAGCTCTAAGGCTGTTTTTTTTTTTTTTTTTTAAATTTATTTTTATTTAATATCTTTCTTGGGCTAGCAACTAGAGAGTGTGTAAATACATAAGTGCATACAATTGATGAACGTACTCAGAAAACACCCAAACGCAAACAATTTAATACCAGATACGAAATATCGCTGATAAGATGTGCTAACCCGTATACATACTCGTATTCGTACATAAGCATAAACTAAAATATATTTAAATACTTTTTGATTTCCTTATTGCGTATACGCTACTAATTACATATCTATTTAATTGCTACTATTACTATATGGAATATTGGATGTAATGTGTACAAATTTCTATGTGATTCACTGTATGTGTAAACTATTCGATTTTCATTTCGAATCATTTATGTCG